GCGCTCCATCAGCTATGAATTTTCTTTAAACAAGAAAAAACGTTAACTAACAAATACAAACTTTATTTTGATCGGTCAGTTTGTACGACAGCAATGTTATAGGGATTCGATCTGATCAATATCTTTGGTGATTACACCATTGCCTTATGCAATAACTCATGTCAAATTTCGTGAAGATATCTTGTCAAACAAAAAAGCTTTATTCTAAGTAGACGGACAGACAGCTGATCATTTATATATATATATATTTTATAAGGTCTCCGACGTTTCCTTCTAGGTGTTACAAACCTCGTGGCAAATTTAATATACCATGTTCAAATGTACTGTATTCATATAGTACACCATATCGTATAAGCAACACAGCAAATATCATTCACTTGTATGAAAGCTCAAGTCATTTGCTGCGCATAACTTTTAAAAGCATATTCTTATGAAACAAACCTTAGGGCTATTTTTGTAGAGTGGAAAAATTTTTCCAAAGTAGTAGGTTTACTTGAAAGGAAAATCCCATTTGAAATACGACATGATTTTTGCAAAGTTTAGATTGAAAAATAAAGAGCATTCTACGTTGCATAATTTTTTTGGCCAAAACCTGAAAGTCTAGTGGGTGGTGGACCAAAAAAAAAAAAACAAAAAAAAACAAGTAAGGTTCGGGTGTAATATTTTATACTCTTGCAACTTCCAAAAAACAAAGCCTGGGAAATACCTTCAGGTGTAGGCAAAACTTTTTTTATTTTTAAATGTTGCGAAAGAATTCAACATTCACTGTTCGACGAAATCGTGAATGGCTTCAAATCAAATTTGGTGTATTATAAGTTTATATTATATTTTTTGCACAAAGATTCACTGTCATTAGAAAAACACGATCTCTCATTCTTAACAAGATAACCCACATATTGGCCGATATATACGGTATAAAGTCAACCGAAAGTTCGAAAATCTGTATAGTTATTAGATATATGAGGGTAGGCGTGGTTTTTGTCCGATTTCGCACTTCGCGCAGTGTAATGTATTGCTGTCAGCATAATATTATCTACCGTATTGGGTTGAAATCGCTCTAGTAGGTTGCGAGATATAAGTTTTCACCTAAATGTGGGAGGCGCTACACGCATTGTCCACATTACTATTCTATACTATTTTACCATTTCGGGTGTAAAATTTTAAATCTTTGGCGCATTCAGTAGTAGATTTATCGCACTTTTAGTAGTTTACAAAAACTGTTATATGGGGAGATGACGGGAGTATTTGGTTATTATAGCTTGAACGGTTTAAGATATATACATTCAATTTTTTAAAGGTCGAGGTCACGCCAATTTTTGAAAAGTTTCTCAACCAACCCTTTTTGGGTGTTGTTATATCAATTTTTACACAAGTTATCGCTTGCATGGACGGACAGACAGTCACACGAAATTTAACTCGTCTCGTCATCCTGATCATTTCTATATATATATATATATATATAATCCTATATCTAACTCGATTAGTTTTAGGTGATACAAACAACCGTTAGGTGAACAAAACTATTATACTCTGTAGCAACATAGCAAGAGTTTAAAAATAAACTTGGGAAATAAGGGACAACCTAATGTACATATCAAAGGGCTGATTAATCGTAAACAAACTGAAATAAATTTCTTTCGTTTCGTTTACTAATTCTAAGTTATATTTCTATATTTTGTCTGTTTTCTATACCTAAACACCACATACACACACACGCATTATACAAGTACAATACATATATACAGAATACCTACATATACATACATACATATATATGCAATGTTGTATCAGTAACAGTAATATGTTGTAAATTGAACTGTCTAACGGGTTAAGAGAGGTTATGATAGCTTAAGTGGTTGCTAAATAACTGATAATATATAATAAAGTAACAAAAAAAAAGTAGTAGAAAACAAATCAAATACGAATTAAATATTAACAGACCTAATTCAGAGATTTCATTTGTTGTATGTAGACAGATAGTGGTTGAATAAATTTGTTGTTGTTGTCAATTAGCTGAGCTGAAATGCCGCTTCAAATAATATATGCAAATAACAGAGTTGTTGTTGTGCTTGTCGATTACAAAGTTGCACTCGATGCGTTTTGTTGTCAAGTTGTTGCAACGGCAAAAAATATTATTTAGACCCACACACACACATAAACGAGTGACAATCGACGCCATCACGAGTCCCTAACCATGGCCTCATCGGCAGTATCCGTGGCACTGTTATCTTTTCGCTCCCAGCACAAGGTCAAATTGAGCGTTAATATGGATGCGAACGTCAGCGTAGAAGACGCGTCCTTATGCGTTTGCGTCCGTTTGATGAATGACTCCGCAGTCGCTGCCGGCGTTTGTATAATGGACTTAAGCGCTACGGCAAGTTCAAATTATTGTAGTTCGCGGCATCGATCGATCTCCAGCTGTTGCATTACCGTTATGCCAACAGGATAACGTTTGCTGCGCTCTTTCCGCAATTTCTTAATTTGCTCAACGTATCTATGTATGTGGTTAAAAATTGTTTAGTTGTATGTGTGCGCACAGCAATCAATGCACATGTACTCGTATATATATATATATATATGTATATGTACACAAAAAACACACTCATTTGCATATGTCTGTATGTAGGTTAGGTGTTAAAACGCGTCTTTTTTGACTTCGGTTTATTTTTTGTAATTTATTTAAGTTTATAATTTTTTGACGAATTTTCGCCGCAATCAATACACGCACATTGCACTGAAGTACGGTTATGTGGCAAATTGCGTTTATCGTTTTCGCATGGACTTCATGCATGACACGCGCCATTGCATACTTTACGGCTCTGAGTGCATTGCGCTGGGTTGTGTGGGATTGTGTGCGATTGCTATCTTTAGATCGCTCAACTTTTAACTGTAATGTAATGCATGTGGGAGGAGTACATTTTAAATATGCGTTAAATACACCATACATATATTTGTATATATACATATTTATATATATTGTATTTGTTTGCTATTTGCAAGCATTTTTGCTTTTTTGTGGATTTTTCAAATTTTTTCTTAAATTATTTTTATTATTGTTTTTGCTTTTGTTGGCTGTGCTTTTCACTTTATGATTTTTATTTTCATTGTTGTTGTAGTTGTGGATTTTTAATTCATTTTACGATTTTCGATCTTCGTTCAACTTCTCTTTCTGACTTTATCTCTCTCGCTATTTGCAGCTGCAGCTGTATATATATCTGTATAACGGCATCTGTTGCACCAAACAGCGTCTCTAACAGCAGCAACAGCAGCAACAGCAGCAGTGGTTGCAGTAGTGGTAGTAGCAGTAGTAGTAGTAGTAGTAGATTATCTCATTCTCATTGGCTTAACGCAAATGTAATTAAATTCAATAAATTTATTTTTAATAAAACTTTTATTAATTAAAGAATTAATTTATTATGAATGAATTCGTTTGAAATCATGATTAAATAACAAATCGGTAGCAAAAAAGGTAAAATTGTTTTTGAATTGGCGAATAACTGGGCGTAGTTGTTGTAATAGTGGTAGTAGCAGAGTAATAAATGAAATGAGCTGCGACTTTGTGAGAGACAACAGACACAAAGAACACAGTGTAACGGAAGAAATTGGAACAGAGTTGTAACGGATATGGAAGGTGAGCAGAGAATGCATGAAGAATTTTGAGGCACAAATTTCGACTAAAGATCACAAGGTAGCGGCTATACCAAAAATGCGCACGGAATTGTAATAAACTTTACGAAGAAAAGAAATGATAGATTTTAGTAAGTTAAAGAAAAATGGCAAAGTTAAGGCAAACAAAAAAGTGCGTGTAAATAGTGCAGTTAAAAAATGGCATAAAATGTAATAAAGTAATGAGAGAGGCATAAGAGAAATAAAAAAATAAAAAGTAGAAAAAAAAATATATGTATATATGTAAAAAACAGTAAAAATGTAAAAAAAAAAACAATCAGAAAAATAAAAAGAAAAAAAAATTAAACAAAGATATATAAAAAAACAAAAAAAAAATATTAAAAAAGTATCAAAAAAAAATTAAAAAAAAAATATTAAAAAATTAAAAAAAAAATATTAAAAAATTAAAAAAAAAAATATTAAAAAAGTATCAAAAAAATAATTTTAAAATAATTAGTGTTGTAAAAAACTTAGCCATTAAAAAAAATTAACAAAAAATACAACTTTCTAGTGTATGGATAGCTAAATAAAAATGAAATGTGTTGAAAGTACAGTTGAAAAATGCCATCAAATGCGCAATGAGAGAGACAAAAGAGAAATGGAAAATATAACAAAAAATTCAAATATATATTTATATAAAAAACATATAAAAAATTATTATTACACAAGTAAAAAATTTGAAATGATAAATGAGAAAAAGTTTCAAAACGTGTAAAAATAATGAAAAAACCCCGTAAAAATAGTAAAAAAAAGCAAAATCTAATTAAAAGAAAAAATAAAATAGTTTTAAATAAAAAATTTAAAAAGTGTAAAAAATATTAAATAATATTAAAGAAATTCAAATTTTAGAGAAAGTATTTTTTTCTTTTTGGGAAAATTCTGAATTTCAATAAAAAAATAAACCAAAAATCCAACTCACTAGTGTATGCATGGCTAAATAAAAATAGAAATCATATTAAAAAATGTGTATAAATTAAAAATGAAATATGTTAGGCATAAAAATAAAAAAATAATTTGAAAAAAAAAATAATGCAAAATAAATAAAAAAATTTGGGCATTAAACTAAAACAATTTTATGTAAAAAGAAATTTTGAGAAAGGAAAAATTAGTTTTAAAAATAAGAGTAAAAAAAAAAATATGTGGCATTCGAATAATATTGAGACTCGTTAAGCAAAAACCAAAAAAGTTGCAAAGCAATCAATGTGAGTGTTAAAATAAATACCAAAAAAGGAATGTTAAGGTTTTGCTTGTTAATTTTATATTATTTCAACTGGAGGTTATTTTTTTTCTATATTTTTGTTAGTGGCAAAATTATGGCGTGAAATTTCACTTACCTAGCAAAACTTTTGAATGCCGCACTTTGCGGATTTATACAAAGTGGCACGCGTCCCGTTTGCAGTTGCTCCGCTATGAATTTGTGCATTTCCTCTGTAAGAGACATAAGTGTAAGGTTATTAAGAAACACTATGAGTTGTGAGCAAAAAATACAGCGTTCAAAAAATTAAAAAAAAAATTACAAAATAACACTACATAAAAATATATAAATTAAAAGAAAATAATAAAATGTAATAAAGAGAATATAAAAATTAAATTTAATAACACAAATAAAATAAAACAAACATAAATAAATTTTTATTTTAATAAATTTTTTTTTAAATTAATTTTCCTAAATATTTACTTTATTTTATTTTAATTAATTTTTATTTTTTTATTTTATTGCATATATACTTATATCTTTTACTTTATTTTATATCGCAATTAATTTCTTTTTATTGTATGTATATACGAATGGCTGTCATTTTTAGCATTTCCTAATAATTTAATTTTAAAAATTGCAATAAACGATATTCGCCTAAATTTTTAATATTATTGATGATGCCTGCATTTGATATTAAGTTTAAACGAAATATTGCTTTGGAAATTAAGTTTAAACTCTTTTTTTTAAAGTAGAACATTTCCATGTCAAATTTCGTAACGATATATTGTGAAATAAAATAGTTTTCGATACAAGAACTTTATTTTGAACGGTCAGTTTCTATGAATGCGAGCAAAATTTATATCTATCTTAAAAAGTGATGGACTGGTTTGCGTATATACAGACAGACGGTCAAACGGACATGGCTAAATCGTCTCAGCTCGTTACACTGCTCATTTATATATACACTTTATAAGGTCTCCGACGTTTTCAAAAGTTTGCCAAATTTATTATACTCTGTTCGGGGTATAAATATCATACTATTTGTATGATGTATACATCCAAATGCCTTCAACTGCATTACCTATAGTTAGGCTTCAAACCATTAATTTTTATTTACCATCACCTTATGTTAATGCTAATGTTCTAAGAATTTGAAGATATAACCTCCTATTTTGTTTTTAGATCAAATTAAATTTCAATTATATTCTAAATATATTTTCTGCAATGAAGAACTTTCTATTTGATGCTCCATAGATTAGACCTACCCAAACCCTTACAATTTTCAAAATACATCATTACTTTTTTTAAATTCTCTCTACAAACAAACTCCTTTCGAATTCTTTTACTCTATTTCATTTTTACCGCATACCGCATTAAATTCAACGTTACCTTTAACTTGCTGCACCGATGTCAATTTACGTTCCCACAAATCATCGAATGGCTGACCAGCTGATGGCTCAAAATCGGGCGTATATTGACGCATGCCGGCCGAGGTAGTGAAACAGCATTTGCACATGCACGAGTGGTAGCGTAGACGACCCTCGTCCAGATAGGGATGCGCCAGAGCATCCGTCACTGTAATGCGCTTATCCTGCAGAAATAAATATACGATTGTTTAGAAGAATGTGCTAAATAGAATTTACGCAAACACTTACCGGATCGAAAACAAGCATTTGACAAAGCAGATGCACCGCCTCGTGCGTCGCATGCGAACTGAGCGTGTACAACGCCGAAAATGATGGCAGCTTGGGTGCGCGACGCAGCATATGTGAGCGAGCGCCATCGCAGGCGTGACGCATATCCTCCATGGATGGTGTGCCCAACAGCTCGGTAATCAGCTCCAGCTGTTGTACGGGATTCTGTGCCTGAAAGAGAATGCGACGACCGAGCAGTTCGCCGAAAATGCAACCTACCGACCAAACATCCACCGCCGATGAGTAATGACGTGCGCCCATTAAAATTTCCGGTGCACGATAATATTGTGTGACGACCTCTTGTGTCATATGTTTGGCCTGATCGGGCTCTTCGACACGCGCCAAACCGAAATCACAAATTTTCAGCACACAATTCGAATTGACCAGCAGATTGCCGGGCTTGATGTCACGATGGAGTATGCGCGCCGAATGCAGATACTTGAGACCGCGCAATATTTGGTAGAGGAACACTTTAATGTGATCGGCGGAGAGATGTTGTGGTGAGACGATTATCTTATGGAGATCTGACTGTAGAAGTTCGGTTATCACATATCTATTATAAGTGAGGAGAAAATGACATTACAAACGACGAGTTGAGGAAATACGAAAGGTGAGCGTTTCAATGAAAAAAAGTTAAAAAAATTTAAATACATACACACTTACACACAAGTATATAAAATATATTAAAAGGTTAGAGGTTGTGTAAATTTAAAATAACGGCTTGCATTTGTGTGTGAAAGCAGTACGCCTTCATCGGCAAATGTTGACTTAAAAAACTTGCCGATTTAGGGCACTTACAATTGCCCATCAAACTGTAGAAATACAAAGTTCAGCAGAAAATGCGCCACACAATGAGTGCGAATAAGGCAAAGTTTTTCAATTAAATCGCTTTGATTTTATCCATTTGCTTTGATGTTGACGCGCAGTACTGTACTAGTGCTGGCAACTTTTGGGCCGCCAACTTTCACAGCTCTCTACTTGAACACGCGCATTTGACTGCCTGCGACAGCGGCAATAGCCTTGAACTGCCGGAAACCGCAGAATGACTAGAAAAGTGGCTGTGGAAAATTTAATTTCCCCATTAGCATTTCGCAAAGACACTTCCTCGCACACACACACACAAAGAACAAGAGAGAGAGAGAGAGCAAGAGAGAGGGAAGGAGACTCCTGTCAGCGGCAGCTTTGGCCCCTTAATCTTCAATGAATTCTAATTAAATGAAATAAAAATGAGCAAGCGCATTCTAAAAACATTCATTTGCCCGAGTATTGTGCTAATTTCGCCGCAATGTAAAACAACCGTTACAAAATACTCAAACAATGTCAACGCGTGTGCAGTCATTCGCCTGTTGCAACAACAGGCGTCCTTGCTTATATGCAGCAGTGGCAGCAGCTGGAATGTGGCGCATTGCATTGCAGTTTTGTTGCCCCTAAAAGCAGGCAACACCTTGCAACGCGACTAAGGTAAGTTACTAGGCGTTAGCAATGTGTTCGTGTGTTGCTGATTGATGGCTCGATTCACTCGCTTGTGCCGATCTGCCTTATTGCCTTAATACATTTCATACTCGAGAAGAGCGGAAAGGTGAGAGATATAACGGAAAGACAAAGATAAAACTTCTTAATAAAAGATAAAAGTAAAGCATGAATGCAGCCAAAGCTATGCCGTAAAACTTTTAATGGTTCACAATTTCATTTCGGCATAAAAGTTACAAATTCTGATTTTATGCACCTATTAAAATGCTCAAGATAAAGTTGCTTCTATGAGTGATTCGTTCGGAGTGAAGAGAATTTAATTTAAATTAAATTGAGTTGGGTGCTTAAAAGGCATACATAGTTGATTTTGCAAAATATTATATATGCGAAATAACTAAAGGTGTTGTTATAATTTTTAAACAAATCCCGATTTTTAATAGTTAAATATTTGTTTAAGAATTATGGTATATTTGATGGCAGTTCACAAAAAAAACACAATATATTTTTTTAAACAAAGCAAAAAATTTTTGAAAATATAATTCACGTTCACAAAAAATATTTTGTTTTGTTAATAAAAGTAAAAAAAATACGTTAAAATTTATTGAATAATTTCCTTTACATAAATCTAGTAAATTTTCCAGAAATCGTATAAGGATACCGAAAGGCAAAAAAACGTTGCCTACATTTCAGCGGAATGTATTAAACGCGAGTCACAAAGATAAAAGTGTTCTCAGAAACCTTGAACTAAGCTAATTTCAAGCTACTATTTAATATAATGCATAGCAGTAGAATTCTGTGAATTAAGATTACGAATTACACTGTACGGTGCTAGGTGTGATATTGAAAAATCGTGGATCAAACGCATTTTTAAGGAGAATTCATTAATGCTCAGTAAGAAGTCTGTTGCTAATTCAACGAGAGAGAGAGAGCTTATTTGATTCTTGGAATACTGTGCGATTAAAATTGTGTTGATCACTAAACGTTTTCGAAATCATATGAGTATTCTTATATTTAGTAATAACTTCTATTTTCTTCTATTTATACACTGCTTTTGTCAAGCTTAAATTATTTATTTTGGACTATATATGGTGAACTAATGTCATATATAATATTATGTTCTTCTTGTAAAAAGAAATCTATTATTCTTCCAATAGATAGCTTTAGTAAACTGTATCTGGCGTGGTATAAGTGCGATATGGTTACGCAAAATGGCCGTAAAATGTTAAGATTTCGTACTAAATGAACCTCTCAGACAGTTTTGTGATTGCTTGACTCAGTATTGCTTCAACATGTAATAAATATGTAGAACAGGAAAGTCTTATTTTCCAATATGTATCCAATCTACCAATATGTTATCCTACGGCCAAAGTCTCAATTCGGATCTATGCTGTCAACAATTTGCTATCGCTCAGAAAGGGCAAGATTTGGCCAATAGGAGTGAAATTGTGTTCCATCAGGACAACATCAGGCCAAACACAGAAATAGTGACCCGCCAGAGGTTTTGGCAGCTTGGTTGCGAGGTTCTTATGCATCCACCTTATAGTCCAGACTTAGCATCACGTGATAACTAGCTCATTTTGTAGGCCTCGAAAGGTTATTTTAAAAGTTGACTGCCCTAGTTTTTTGCCAAAAAGCTCGACGATTTATATGAGAGTGACATTTTGAAACCTTCAAGCTTAAACATCTTCCAGAGTAGTTTTGAAGTATTATAGGACTCTGATGCCACAGTTTTTGGTTCATATACTGGAAAGACTGATACTGCAGCCAGTATAAATGGATTTACAAAATGGAAAAATAATGGATTTCTTTTTACTAGACCTGGCCAAAATGCCTTAATGGTAAGAGATTTGGGTTATATACAGGAAATCGTTTAGTTTGAAGGAGTGATTAAAAATAACAGAACTGGCAAAACTTTTCGAAAAAAAAGTTTATGAAAAAAAGATTTGCCGAAAGCTTCTAGAATTGAGGTTAACTCATATTTCTGGGAAAATATTTGTATTTATTATTGTTGTTGTAGCAGTATTAAACTACCCTAATTGTTTTGGAGAATGTTGCTGATGTGACATCAATGGTCGGAGATAAATCTGCCACATCTGATTGTCGTGAGAGGGTATATTTTGTACATACCCATGCTTGAGTCATCAAGCAAGTCTCCAATTTAAATAATACGAAACTAGTAAAACTAAAAGCTTGTAATTGAAAACATTGAAATTGTGGAACTTTCAAAAAGTGGATTGAGTGAGTTGTCACTTCGCTTGAAGCTGCGTCATTGATTAAAGCGTTAAACTAGTTACCCAACTTGCGTTTCCGGTGCAAATGCGAATGCAACTATATACATATGTACATATATAGTTGTAGAGTCTACATTTGTTGTAGTGGTTTTTCCTACATGTGCGACCCACCGACAAATAATAATTTTTTTATGCAGAAAAACCGAGTGTTGATGCCAAAGCTTTTACTTCTAATATTATGCAATCTTTGTTTTTGTTTTTTTTGTTCTCATAATAATTTATGCAACTTTTTTCTGTTGCTCAATTTTATTATTATTTGCGTTAGTGCAAATTAAAAGAGATAGTTATGCACTTCCGCCTGAAGCTTCTCTTTCTCTTTCGCTTCATATTCTTGGTTTTGTTAGTGTATGTATATTTTATGTGCGTCATTATAGTCTTTTGTTTGTAATTATTATTATTGTTTTGTTGTTTTTTTTGGTTTTTTTTTGTTTGAAAAGGATACATTTCTTGGAAGAAATCCAAATGAGGTGGTTGTAAAATGTCCAATGCTGAGAGTACCTGTAAATAGAGGAAGAATACAAATTTTGTTATAATAAGTTGAGTTTAAGGAGAATTACAAAGTACAAAGGCGGAAATCATTATGATAAATAATGTCTTATCGGGGAAGAGAAAATGCTAACAAAACGAATTGCTTTGCGGAATTGTTTTTCATAATTAATTTGGAACTGGAAGTAAGAGCGAAATGATTGCAATGAAATACAGATTTTGCAAAGCCAAATGTTATTGGGATATATAATATATATAACATAGTATTATATAATATATATATTACATATTCACAGAAATATATACGGATGCTTTGAAATAAAAATAAATGAATATGTAAATACAATACGAATTTATCTTTAAGGTCTCTTATATAGACCAGGGTCGGTAATTTTTGAAAGCCAAAAAATCCTGGTAGAATGAAACCCATTGGAAAAAGGAAGATCAAAAAACAAAATGATGAGCGGGGGGTTGCTGGAATTTTTAGGGTTGAAAATGGTTTATCCCGATTTCAGGCTAAACTACGGTATCTAATGAAAAATGGCAAAGTTATATGTAACAAAACATTTTACAACTTTTGTATTCACACATTTTTCACACAACCTCAAAATTTATGTGAAAAATTCAAAAAACCAAGTTTTTCGCTTTTTAATTATTTTCTTATATAAATTTTTGTTTTTTTCACGAAGTATGCGTTAATTAAACTTTTTATGTCCAAACACACTATTATTTTTTTATATATACATAACCCTAGATCTAACTCGATTATACACAGACGAACGGACGCACGAAGGGACAGACAGTCACCCGGATTTCAACTCGTCTCTTCATCCTGATCATTTATATATATATATGTATATATATATAACCCTATATCTAACTCGATTATTTTTAGGTGATATAAACAAACATTAGCTGAACAAAACTTTTATACTCTGTAGCAACATGTTGCAAAAGTATAAAAATCCTCCTCGCCATCGAATACGTTTTTTCGGAGATTCTCCTGGAGATTGGATACGGGGTAAAGTGAAAATAAAGTTTTTGATAAAGAATCTTTGATTATTAAAATACATTAAATTTTGTAAATGAAAATTATTTTTATTTATTCATTAAATAAAATGTCTCTTCAAAAAGCAAAAAACAAGTTCATGAAAAACCTGTTTTTTCTAACATGCAAGTGGATATGACCTCTTGATTAATTTTCTTGACGTAATATACGTAGAAGTATTGATATCATTATTTATGATAAATGCAAATATATATAAGTTACTTTATAAAGTTGAAAAACAAAATGGTATTATGTAATCAGAATTAGTTAGTAAAATGTCAAACTGGTGCTCATAATACGCTCAGCTGGCATTGCAACATAATTTGCTCCAACCAGCGATTAAATTAAACATAAAAAATAAATACGAATCGTTTGAAGTGCTTTTTTATTAGTTTACTTTTATTTCAAATCAATAAAATCGAATACTCAGCTTGACCTACTTTTGATGAGTTTACAAGCATTACGGAGCAAAGGCTATATATTTGACATTCAACGAAATAATAGTGGCAAACGATGCCAACAGCGCGCTTAAATTGAAATGGAGCTTTGAATGGGAGTGCAAGAGAACTAACACCATTTAACCCCGGAGCTAAGCAGCCAAAGATATCAACAAAGGAAATAAACATTAAATGCTCGTCAAGTTTTATAAACTTCGCGTCGGTAAATGTCAATAAAGTCGCAAATATTGCTTCAAGTTGCCGCGCATAATTGCTGGCAATCAACAACTGTGTGTGTGTGTGTGTGTGTGGTGTAGTGGTGGCGGTAGTTGGCAGTGGCCAAGAACCTTCCACTCGTTTTCGCCGTTGTCATAAAAATCACCCTTGAAGGCAGCTGGGTAGACTGGCGGCAGCAATGTTGCAAGCGCGATGTTGCAAGGAATGCTCGACTGTGGCAATGTGGCTAAGGAAAACAATGACAAGCGCGCAAATGTAATGATTACAAAAAAAAGACAATAACGAAAAAAAGGAGGCGGATAAGTCCAACACATTTCGAGCGACTTATTTGTTTTATTGGTGTTGTTGTTGTGCGCAATCGTTAATGAACAGGACCGGCAAAGGAAGGAAAGCAACAACAACTAACTGAGTCACTAACTGCAACTAAGCAGCTGAGTGACTATAAATATATACGAATAGCTAACTAACTGCACACAAATACAAACATACAAACAAACAAATATAAATATATTCAATATGTATTTTCAAGTGCTTAGCGTTCGCCTGACAAAGTGATTGACTGCTGGCGGGTGGATCAACGAACCGAGCGCTCTGCTCAGCTCAGCTGCGAGTGTTGCCAGTGATGAACGCTGATTTATTTAGCTCGAAGGCTGAGAGCGCGCAGACAAAACAATAAAGACATAAAAACAAAGCGACACAGCATCAAAGCAAAACAAAAAAAATACATACAAATAAATGGAAGTTGCCACAAAAGACGGCAGCAAAGCGAAATTTTGCGACGATAACAACAAAAAAGTGCGCAAATATCACAAGCTAACATCGCCAACAGCAACAAAGTCGCAATGACAGTAGTAAAATTGACAGAAAAATAAACAAAAACAAGAAGAAAAAAAAAACGTTAACTTCGGCTATGATACCTCTCACAGGTGCATTTCATATAGCATAAAAGGGTATAAAAACATCTTTGTCTTGTTTTTGATCGATCAATTTGAACGACAGCTATATACTGTAGTGGTCCGATCTGAACAATATATATGAAGGTTTTAGCTTTGTATGGGACAATAATCCAGTCTAAATTTCGGGAATACTGTCAAATAAAAAAGTTACTCATTAAGGGGCTTGATTTGGAAAGATCAGTTTTTACGGCAACTATATCCCACAGTGATCCGATTTAGACAATATATTCGGAGATTGTAGCGTTGCCTTGAAAAATAATCTATGCCAAATTTCATGAAGATATCTCGTCAAACTAAAAAGTTTGCCATTCAAGAACATGATTTTGACCGTTAAGTGTGTCGGGCAGCTATAAGTTATAGTGGTGCTTCTATAGGGGATTCTGACAAATGAGTAGCTGCTTGGGGAGAATATGACGTGTGCAACATTTCAGATCGTTATCTCAAAAACTGAGGGACCAGGTTGAGTATATACAAACATACATGACCCAGCACATCAAGCTGATCATTTGTATATATATACAAGAATACTTTATAAGGCCTCCGATGGTTTCTTCTGGGAGTTACAAACTTCGTGGCAAACTTAATAATTCTTGTACAGGGTATAAAAATACCAATAATATGTATATATGTATATGTGTGTATAATGACAAAAAGCAATAGCAATATCCAACACCAATAGCAATAGCGACAACAACGTACCGCGTAAAATGTCCACAGCAACACTCAGTTCGCTGCACAACCAACAGCCATTCACTCAGTCAGTACGTCAGCGAGTAAATAAACAGGCAAAGAACTTTTGGCAATGACTGTTTGTATGTATGAGAGTAACAGCGCAAATGTCATTGCAACAACCACAACAACAACAACAATTGACATTGATAACAGCAAACAAACAGCAGCGCTAGCAAGTAAAAGAACAATGAACCGCCGACTGGCCACTGGCTGCCTGACTGCTGCAACATTATCTATCGGTGGCTTGTTGGCGTTATTTTCGTATATTTTCGTTTTGCCACACTTATTTTATGCTATTTTATTTATTTGCAATCTTTTGTCATTGCACACCTTCTGCTTTAACCGAAATCATTGTCGGATTTCAGCAGTTTCCTTGAAGTTCTTAAACTCGCTCACAATGCTTGGTTCAAAATTAAATTTTTTTCTTTTATTTTTAAAGTTTGTTTTGAGGTCTGGCAGTATTGCATTAGTCCAAATGGCAATCATGGTAGCAGAAGAACTTTTATTGCATTTATTATGTAAAAATGTGCGTTCATGTTTCTCAGATTACTTTGAGAATCGATTGAGAATTATTGTATAATTATTGTATCCAAACGAGAAAAATATATATATATTTTTTTTAATTTGGACAGCCTTTATAGTTATTTTTCACAAAAAATCTTTCATATTTACGATTTATAACTTTTAGGAAGATAATTTCTGTTAACCAACGAATAAAAGTATTATCTCAAAGTATAAATTCTTTAGACCGAAAAAGAGTGACGAAGCAGTATTGTTATAATATTGAAAATCATCGTTGAAAATGGGAAAACGTTTATGTGAGCCTGGAACTTTTCATACTAGCTGTTGGCATTGATAAGAAAACTCAATTTTGAAAATAAAAAAATTCTATTCCAGATCAATGAAACGCCATGGCATGTCACGTCACCAAAAATATAAGTTTTCAAAAAAACGGCGCGGCATACCACATACACTCATAATAAAATTATTCCGATTTCGCAAGAAAAGTTCTCAGGATATATAATATAATGCTAAAATATGTAACATTGATCTGTCACTCAGGTTTCCTGCTCATTTGTCGGAAACGGCGTTATAGGACTTCTATAGCATATAACTCACAAATAAACTTGCTGATCAAAATCAAGTTCTTGTATGGAAAATTTTTTCAATTAACAAGATATCTTTAGGAGTTTTGGCATAGATTATTACCTAAGACAACGCTACAATCTCTGAATCAGTGTTACCAACTCTACCTACTTTTACGTAGATCTACCAACTTTTAATAATTTTTTCGAACCTACAAACTTGGATAAAAAATCTACCAACTTTTTTAATTATATTTTTGATGAATTTTGTAAAAATAATATGTTAAGACGTTTACTTTTTATCACGAATCAAATTATTTATATTTGATAGGAATTTGAATCGCGCGCTGCGTGCGCCTTTTGTTTATCTACCAATGAGGAATCGGGGACCATATTTTTGCACTAATTCGATACTCAGTTAACTTCACACTTCTTTTTATTTCATCTATTTGAATGTAGAGGAGGATATGTAAGTATATGTATTGATATATAAAAGTTATACGTCATAATTGTTAGT